ATTTTTTAAAGTGGAAAGCAAAAAGATTTAGTGGAAAACATTGGTGATTGAGGAGAGACTGAAAAATGAGGGGGATACGGCAAAGATTGGGTGAGAGATAAGAATGGCTGGAACTAAAGCAGTGATGCCTGGAGGCAGGTGCAATATCACCATCAGAGCTGCAAGCTGATGAACCTACCTGTCACCAATAGTGGGAGCACCCAATATACACCTGCATGCAAAAGCAGGCACATACTTCAAAGGGAGGAAAAAAGAGAAGCAAAGAACTAAAAAGTCTAGGAAGATCCAATAAATTAGCGCGTGCATGCTAGCTTAAGGTCAACGAAGGAAGAACTGAGTCCAATTCCCTCTAGTCTGCAATGTCCCAGAGTAGAGTCTGAAAGGGCAGGTGGCAGCATTTTACAGAACCCATGAGATGGATTTTATAATTTGCACAAGGAGCTGGCCTGGGGCCCTTGCTCCTTAGGTCAGTTACTGACCCTGTATATTTAGTTTGGGATTTAGAAACAGACTCAGCAAGTGCATATGGGGCAAAGCAAGTTCTAAGGCTTCAGAGCTCATTTAGTGGGTGGAGGTGCAGGGGTGGCAGTCCTGGAAGCACACCCAGGGGACTCATTAAAATCCTGTTTCCTGGAGCAGCATTTTCAGCTGAGAGGATAAGACCATGAATCCTCCCACAGGACAAGGCCCTGGCTCACTATTACAGCAAGAACACTAAGACTGTCCACTACAGGTCTCCACTAGGCAACTCCTCCCTTATTTTTTTCCTGTGCTCAGCTTTTGTCATGGATGCCACGGAGGATAGAAATATATGAAAGAAAATTTGAGTTCTTGGAATAAAGAACTCAGTCAATGCGACAGCAAGGCTGGGAGAGCTTCTAAAAAAGGAGAGTTGAATGACAAAAGGTAGAGGAGAGACAGCTCCTTGCTTCCACTGGATCCTCAGGTTCTCTCAGTTTGCATCCACCTTAATCCTCAGAGAGGACTTGCAATGCTAGTAAAAGGGAGGAGTTTTTGACCTTCGATGTCAGACACAGACATACACACATCTACATCCTATCTTGGCAGAAGAACCACCTCTTCTTTCTCCATCTTCTTGAACATCTCCACCCCTCATATGATCCTCAGGGCCATCAGTGTGATCTGGCAGCTGTGCCTCTCCTCATCTGAGGTAAGAGCTCTGTCTCTGTTTCAAGGAACTATGTGGAGTCTGGAATCAAGACCTTATACTACTTTGCTTCTCCAATTCTGTAGTGCCTTGGGCTTCACAGTTTACCCACTCCTTTCTCTACTGTAGGCATCTTGTACATGGAGATATTCTGGGACAGGGTCCCTCTATTTCCTGATGCTGGCCTACTGAAAAAACAAGGGCATCTGGGTTATTCTGGCCTCTAATAGTTTATACCCTAAAATGTGTAGGACCTCAAAGAGGACCATAGATGCCTACTAGACACTAAGTCCTATGTTGTTGTTGTTATTTGCCATCGAGTCAGCCCTGACTCATAGCGACCCCTCCTTGGGTTTCCGAGGCAGTATCACTACGGAAGTAGGATTGCCCAACCTTCCTTCCGAGGAGTG